ACCCCACCCCTAATGGGACCACCGCCCCTTGCTCAGCCAGTGAGCGGGAACCGGTCTGTATGTGGGATCCGAACCCTCGGCGGGAGCGCCGCCACACTTCCCAAGCGGCGCACCGTAGCAGTGCGCCACCGGGCCGGCCCCCCTTTTTATTTTTTATATTTCTATATCCTTTGAATATTACTATGATGATGTACTACTTCTGTTACGCAAAGAAAAAAAAGCACTAACCAGCTCCTGGTGCCCGGGCTGGCTCCTGTCCCAGGTCTGTGCATTGCCCATGCATCCTCCTCAGCCCCTCTGGGATTCTCTTGCTTCATCTGTAAAAATTCAGCCTTCGGGGCTTTCCAGCTCTGTGATCTCTAAAACTGGGGTGGGCACCCCCTGGTTTCAGCACCCCACACACTGCTGAGGCCTCCACCCTCACAGTTACAGAATGAACACAGCACCATTTTCATAAACTTGTGTTAATTTTTCTCAATGACAAATAGTTTTAAAATCATTTTTCAGTAAAAGGAACCGGAATACATTATAGAGTAGAACGGAAAGTGTGTATTCTTTTTAAGCAACATACTAGACTTTAAAGAAATGTCATACTTCATCCCTTCCTCCTTCCAGAGTCCACTGTCTTCTGCTGGAGGGGTACTTTGATGGAATCGTTGCAAAGCACTATTCTATGGGCATTTCCTAATTGTCTGAAAATGAAATCTGAAATTTTAAAAGCATTTATTAAATTGCTTTGGAAATTCAAATTAATACAAAACAGGACAAAATTTCCTAAACGGTAAGGCAAATTTTTATCTTTCTTTATAGGGGCTCTGCAGCTACCCCTCAGATATGCTTTCCTGAGAACCGAGGATTACCTTGAATTTCCATAAATGCTACACATCCGTGTCCTTACTTTGGCTCTCAAGTGCTTTGATACTGTTGCTCTAACCAGACACTGTGGAGAGTGAGCTCCATTTGTCCCCTGTGGTTCCCTCCTGGTGCTGTGGCTGCAGCAGGCGACCAATAGATTTCTTTGCAGTGAATAAATACCAATTAGTTTCATTATCGAAAAAATCCCAGTAAGTCAACCTGCATTTAAAAACACGATTCCAAAAACCTCAGAGGTTTATGGACTGGAGAGTTTATTAAAAATGCCAAACATTTCTTTAACGAAATCCAAATGTCTTTTGATAATTAAAGAATATAATTTTATGGATAGGATTATTCCATTTTTGTAAAATTGTGTGTGTATTAAAGAGAAGAAATGTCAGGAAGAGTATTTATGAAAATATTAGTGATACTGTCAGGGTGTTGGAATAATAGGTGATTTTTTTCCTTTTTCTTCACACTTTTGTGTATTCTTTGATATTTAAATGTTTGTGTTTATTTGTATAATCAGGCAGAGCGATTGTGGGAAAGCAAAATGTTTTAGCCCCAAAATATATTTCTTTGACGTGTTTCAAGATGGCTAATTCAGAGAGACTGGAAAAACAAGATTAGCTAGAAGACTTTCTTTGTGAAAGGAAATTTACATCTGTAAATGCAAACAGCCCGGGTCCCCCGGAGGCCCCTCCTTTGGCTACTGTCTATCCTTTTTTTTTTTTTTTTTTTCCTTTTTTTGTCTTTTTTCGTGTCCGGCAACGGATTGCAACCCTCAGTGTCGCGCCCGTACCGGACCGGGACCGGCAACGGGATCGGCAATGGGATCGCAACCCTCGGTGTTGCGCCCGCACCTCGCTCAGTCAGCGAGCGGGAACCGGCCTGTATGTGGGATCCGAACCCTCGGCGGGAGCGCCACCGCGCTCCCAAGCAGCGCACTGTAGCA